GAAAAGGTTGAAAACATGACCTGAGTGCACTCTAAACGCTCTTCAACTGGAGGACCAATAAAAGCAAAAATGTATTATTATTTTGAATTTTGGGTTTTCTAAAAATATTAAATCTCGTGATTTTATGACCCTGACTCTTGATTTTTTTTAATACTTCAGGTTGGCAGTGCTACACACGAGAGTATGTGAACTCCTGGTCCCATATTCAGACAGTTTCCCTTTTATTTTGCTAATGGGATTGAAAACCTTTAGACCTATTAATAGAAAACCTATTAAAGTCACACCCTCCTTTCAAATCCTTCCCAACAATTTTAAATAGTTTCAACAAAATAGCTTCAGTAAAATACATTAACTCACCAATTTCTTTTACTCCATGCCATTTTAAAAGCACTTTGTTCTTCCAGGTGCTGTGCTTTCTCTGTGAAATGCCAGCACAGCTCTTAAATGTCCAGAACGCTCACTTAAGCTGAAAGTTGCCATTTGTAAGTAAGACATGGGACATTTTATTCAACATTTTCCCCAAAAGGCACTTTTTGGGAGGTGACGGGATGTTGGTTTAAAAATCTGAATTGTTCTGTTTTGGTTTTGGGGTTGGGGTTGAGTGATGGGAAAAATATTAGAAGCAGAAAATTAAGTGTAGTGCTCGAGAGGCTTGGTGCAGGTAGGAGCAGGGCTTGCGGGGAAGAAATGTCTTCAAACCGTGCACATAATTCATCTCAGACCTGAATGCTATGCACTGTTGATTCTGAAGCCTGCTAATCATTCCAGATCGTGTGATCTTCTGATGTGACTAGATATCCAGTAGATGCTAGTTGCAGATGATCAGTTTATACTTGTGTCCTAAAAAAGATGTAAGGTTTCCAGAAATAGTTGGCTTGGGGTCTGAATGGTCTGTGCTGTCTAGAAGAATACTGTAGTCTGTGAATAGAACTGTAACAGCTGAGAGTCTATTTCCAAACTATTCTGGAAGCTCCTACTTAACTGAAGGAGCTTCATTCGGACGAAAAGAAACACTCTTCAGGGAGATTTAGCTCTCTGCTCTGTATGTTGTTGCCAATGAAGTTGCTGGATGCATTGGTTGGCTTGTTGTATTAAACAGGTTTCAGAGTAACAGCCGTGTTAGTCTGTATTCGCAAAAAGAAAAGGAGTACTTGTGGCATCTTAGAGACTAACCAATTTATTTGAGCATAAGCTTTCGTGAGCTACAGCTCACTTCATCTCTAAGGTGCCACAAGTACTCCTTTTCTTTTTGTATTAAACAGCTAATTTAAATTCCCCCAAGCAGTTTTGTTTCTGTTCCATCTCCTGATTTTTTCCTTTTCTTTTTCTTCCTTCACGGGCATTAAATTAATACCTGTTGGAGTACATTATCCAAAAGCTACCTTTTTAAAATGGGGGAATATAAGAACGTGTTTCTTTTCCTTTTGTGGCTACAGAACTAAGTTCTGTTACTGAGCAATTATTTATTTTGTTTTAAATAATAAATACACCTATGCAAGGCTGTATACATAATTAATACTACAGCAAAACCCTGCCATCATTAAAATAATTATTCAGAAATTAATTCGGTCAGCCTGTCACAAAAAATAGCTCCTTTCTCTGTAGGTCTTCATATGTCATAACCAACAGATTAAACTCCCCTCAGAGGCCCCTAGGCAACCAGTGCAGATCCAAAGCACGAGTGTTACGATGCTTGCAGCTACCTTGCTCAAGAGGCAAGCTATTGTGTTCTGCACCGTTTTCAGTCTCCAAATAGTTTAGAGTAAATGTTGCATCTTACGATACAATATTACACAAATTATTCCTTTTGTTGCAAATATAGAGGCAGTATTCCTTTCAAATGGGGGCAGCATATCCTAGTGGATAGACCACTAGACTAAAACACAGCAGACCTAGGTTGTAGTCCCAGCTCTGCCACTGGCCTGCTGGGTGACCTTGGATAGTCTCTCTGTGCCTGAGTTTCCGGATCTGTAAAATGGGGATAATGATGCTGACCTCCTTTTGTAAAGTGCTTTGAGATCTACTGATGAAAAACAGTATAGGTATTATTATTTTATTTTATTAGAGAGACAGCCAAAATAAAGACATCTCTGTAAACTGTTGACAGTTGAGCATATTAAATACATTGTTTTTGTCTGTTACCTTTGTTTATATTTCATCACAAATATTTTTAAATCACCTTATTATACAAATTTTAAAAAACTTAGGAAAATGATGTACAGTATGTTGCTGTTGTGTATAACTAATGCTAGAAATTTTCAAAGCGAATTGGAGATTTAGCTACTCAACTCCCATTAAAAGTAGAAGTATCAACATTATTACCCAAACTGTAGTTAGGCCAGGAAACATGGATTAACTCTTGTGGATTAACTCGACTGCTCTTGTGAATAGACCTACCACACTGATCCTGTCAAGTTCCTCTTCAGATCCCTTTGGTGGCTTCCTCTCCATCTCTGAATTAAATTTAAGTCCCAAAGCATGGTGTCCTTGTTTTCAAGATCCCACATAGTTTGGCTTTTGTCATTTCATTTCCCCTTTGTTCTGTCCTAGCAGCATGCCTCGATGTTGTAGTTTCCACCTGAGCTAACCTTCACCCAGACCTTGTTAGCAGTGCTTTCTGTCTTCCAAGTGTGTGAATATCATAGCTCTTCAAAACTCCTTTCTAGCATGATGCCACAGACCTTTGTCCTCTTGGTTTAAAAAAAAAAAAAAAAAAAAGTAGCATTTTAAAATAATCTTGTGGAACCTCCAAGATATATGCATTACTGATAGGAGTAACCACATGGCCTTAGGCAGTAAGCATTCATACTCTCTCTTATCTATTTAGTCCATGTACTTTTAACCTTACTCTTATTGATTGTATGAAAGTTAATTTTAATCTCTTCTGGGCAAGGATTTCATCTTTCATTTTTCTGTTAAGTACCATGGCACCATATACCAACTAGGGCAAGAATTTTCATGACTAGTGATGCTAATACCTCAGTTCTGCATCATACCTGAAGTTTAATACTGAGATCTACTACACTGTATTTTGGTACAATACTGACTCAAAGGAAAGAATTATGCCTACTATATTACAACAATAGAGGAAAAATTGGGAGAAATTAGAGTTTTATCTTCTACGTACTAGTCTAACCCAACGCTGTTGAGTTGGGGATTTGATTACTTGATTTATCACTTCTAGAGCATAATTACAGAATTTGTGTTGCTTCTTTCCAGACTTGCTCAAGTTTTCATTTAATTTTAGAGGGCCAAAGTTAATAACAGAGAGAGTAAACTTCAGTAGGTGTCAAGTTTCTTTTTCACTATGCCATTCTCAGTTTTTTCATATTCTTGAATTCTGTTAAAGTGAACGTTACATGCTTGCCTCCAACCTAGAAGAAATTAAATTAGGCAAATCCTAAAAGGATGAGTATGTAATTAGAGATTCCTAAAGGATTAAGGGTAGCCAAAAATGTAGAGACTGAAGTAGACCATGCTTGACTATGTGGCTGGGATGGCATGACACAAAAGTGAATTTTAGAAATATGATTTCAAACTGTGAAATGAACAGCTTTTTATTTAATAAAAAATGAAGCAATATTTATTGAACAGTTCATTTCCATGCAACGCAAGCATCTAGATATTTTCCTTACATGGTGTACTTTTGTTACTCATTTTTTCTCTAATTTTGTGTGTTCATATATAAATATGTATGAGCCTAGTATTATGGGGGGTGACTTTCTTGAGGACTCTGGAGGAGGATGGCTCTTTGGTGACCTTTTCATAATTTGGCATTTTTTGCCCCTCACCTATACCATGAAATTTACTTTCTTTAAAAAAAAAAAAGTGTGAATATCATAGCTCTATTCATGAGAGATCAGCCTGTAAAGCAGTGGTCCCCAAACTTTTCAGGGTCGTGTCCCCACTACCCCGTCCGTGCATCCCCTCATCGGGAGCAGGGTCCCAGCTCCTGGGAGGGTGGACTCGGACAGCGGTAAGGGGGTGGAAGCTGTGGGCTGTGGCTGGGAATGGAGCTATGGCCAGGGGCCTAGGCTGGGTGTGGGGCTGGGTGCGGAGCCATTGCCAGGTCGGGGATTGAGGACGGGGGCGGGGCCAGGGGTCAGGCTGCGGGTGAGGCCAGAGCAGAGCGGGACTGGGTGGTGCACCCAGTTCCTCTGTTCCTCTGCGCCCCTTTAAGGGGTGCACCCTACAGTTTGGGGACTTTTGCTGTAAAGCTTCTACAGGTTCAAGTTTAAGTAAAGCACATCCTGGGGCTCAGCCTAGTGTAACTTTGGGGGAGGAATTCCACACTTGTGGGAAAAGAAGGAAGAAAAATAGTACAGGTTTGTTTGTTTTTGTTTTATTTTAAGGAGAGACAGGATGGTGGCAAAAAGCAGGTATTTGGAATGTTAGGATCTTTTTCAAAGGAGATGGGTTGGGGCAGAAAGGGCAGGTGAGGCCATCAAAAGTGCATGAGAAATGCATTTATCAAATGCCCTTAAAATTACAATTAATAGCTTTATGGCACCCAAAGGAACATGAGAAATGTGGTACAGATGACATGGCCCTTACCCAAAGTGTGCAATCTAAATTTTAGGTATGATGCGGGGGAAGGGAGGGGGGTGTCATGAGCAACAGTAAGAAGATGGAGAGAGAAAATAAGAGATACCAAAATTTAGTGTGGCTATTGCCACCACATGGGGTTCGGGTGTATGAGTGCATACAGGATATAGAGATGAATGCTTTTGCATGTCTGTCTTCAATACTTCTGATCATTCAAGGGACAATAGTTTAAGTGAATGAGGTGGAGTGTTGCTGGTAGTACGTTCTTTGTGAGGTGACTGTACTCTGGAACTTGCTTCCCTGCTTGGTCTCTTGATCTGTCAGAGCCCAGATCTGATGACTTTCAGGGCATGCTGGGGTGTTTTATGGTATGGTATAGGGTTTTGGAGCAAATGGCTGGGGAGACTCGTAGTATTAAACACTTTTTTTTCCTATCAATTTTTTTTACCTCTTAG